CCTCAAGCTCGCAACAGTTGTTTTAAAAAAGCCTCATCGATCACTCCCAGCGGCCAAGCAGCCCGAGAGGAAACCCGCGAGGCAATTTTTCATTCGTGACCGTTGTTGGTCGGCTGCTTTTTTTTCTTCTTCTTTCTTTTCAAAATCGTGAGGGGGGGGGGTTATAGAAACGCTCCTGTTTTCCGAAAAAACCTATAGCTTCTTGTTTTTTTTTAAAGGTTTGGGACAAAAGTTTTTTTTTAAAAAGTGTGTGAGGGTGAAATGAAAGAAGCGGGGGCTACTCCCGGTGAGAAGTTCTCCGGGCTGGTCGGGGGGAAAAGCAAACCGTCCGAGTCCCGTCCTGAGGTAAAGGACGTGAGGGCGGACGGGGGGGGGGGGCACACTCCCAAGGCAGGAAAAAAAAAAGAGAAAGAACTTCCCCCCCCCCCAGTCTTTAGCCGACTGCGAAGACCCAAAGACTCCCGTTCACCCGAAGGAAGAAAAGCCGCGCCGACCGGCGCCTCACCTCTCCTCACAGCCCTGGCATTTCACCTGCACGGGCACCAACTGGCCGAAGAGGCTCTCCGACGCCATCTTGCGCTTTGAGTTTGGCGCCCTCCTCCCGCGAGGGTGGGGGGGCGTGGCGTGAGGGGGGAGGAGCCAGGAAAGAGCGAGGCAGGAAGGGCGGGGGAACGAGCCACGCGCCGCCCGGGAGGAGGCGGGGCAAGGGTGGGAGGGAGGAGAAAGTGGGCGGAGCCACGGACACCTGTAGGCAAGATGGCGGATGCTGCTGTCGAGGTGGCGTCTCTTCCTCCGCCGGGGCGATGCGCCTATTTCGTGGAGCGGAAGAAGCGCTTTTGCAAGATGGTCCCGGCCCAAGGCAGGCGCTTCTGTGGCGAGCACGGCGCTGAAGAGGTAGTAGGGGGGAGAACTAGGGGCAAGCCCCGCTGGACCGAATGAGCCGTTCCGTTTGTTAAAATAAAGGCTCCGGCTGGGTTTGGTTTCCAGGAGCTTCCAGTTTTATCTTTTCTGACACAGGCACAGGGAGGAAGGGAACGCACCTGGAGAAGGTCGTCGACGTTTCATATATGAAGAGTGCACATACACACACACACAGAGGACGCATGTGCACACCCACTTTGCAAGAAGGATAGCATTAGGTTTTCGAAAGGCACCTTGTTAAGGTCGATGTTTCATATATGAGGAGTTCACATACAAACGCACACACAGGACGCATGTACATACACACACAGAGGACACGTGCAAACCCACTTTGCAAGAAGGATAGCATTAGGTTTTTGAAAGGCACCTTGATAAGGTTGTTGATGTTTCATATATCAAGAGTGCACACACAAACACACATGCACACAGGAAGCATGTGCACACACACACACACAGAGGACACATGTGCACACCCACTTTGCAAGAACACATTAGGTTTTCGAAACGCACCTTGATAAGGTCTATGTTTCATATATGAAGAGTGCACATACAAACGCACACACANCACTGACTGGCAGATGGGACTCGGAGGAGGCCTAATCTGTGTGATCTAATTGGTCGCGAGGAGGTGATTGGCAGGAGGCGGTCTCTCAAGTGAGATCTAGCTTTTTAAAACAGGTACTGACAGGTATAACTTGCATGTTCATGTCTGCGCCAATGGATCTTTTTTATTGTCAGATCAGATAGCACATGCCTAGTCGCATGCACTTAGCCAAACACATAACGTAACATTTTAGATCATAATGAACTTTAATGACTACATTTGTTACAATAATACTATAGGGAAAATTCTAGGAACCTTTTGCTCTTGTGTGGCTTCTAATACTTCTTTTGTCCTGGCAATAAGCTGGTCCTTATCTTTCATCTCTTGTTCCAAAACAGCAACTCGCATTTGCAGTTGGTTAACTTGCTTCTCCTTTTCATGGCATTCAGCATCTAAGGTAGTATTCTCCCGACGTAAGGATAGAACTTCTTGCTTCATTCTCTGGCATTCCTTATCAAATGGAAAAACAAAGCATTCTAAAGTATTTTAAAGATTTGAACTTGATTTAAAAAGTAAGGTATACACTGCAACAACTGTTTAGATCACATAACTGTATTATATTCACCTATTATAAAGTGGGATATTTGCTGTATTTTCAACTGCTTATAAACTATACAATTAGAAATTGTAGGTCATGAAAATCAGATCTTTAAATAGACACAAATTGGCAAGTGTTACATACATCTTCTGCACTCGATAATTTTGCTTTAAGTTCCCTGACTGTTGAATCGCCTTTGTATCTCCTTTCCATTAAGTCTTTGTTAGCAAGTTCCAGTTCCTTCAGCCTGTTCTGTAGTTGCTGGGCAGTTTTCTGATGCGAGTTTTCCAAGTCTCTTTTCTGTTGCTCATTCTGTTGCTGATAATGTGCTTGTGCCTATGAAAATAGAAAATGTTTTAATAATTCTTGATTTTAAAATGAATCATTTGTTTTAAACGCTGTATTGTTTACAAACCTGCAGAGTTTTTTCCTTCTCGTTTGACAATTCCTGAGTATGTTTACTATTCAATGATGCTATCTTGGAGGTCCATTCGCTTCTTAAATTATCTAGTTCTCTGCTCTTTTCTGACAAAGCCTAAGAGAAAAAAGCATAATCACTAGGCTTTCATATAATGCTAGAATCTAACTCTAACACTGTTTTATTAAAGGACCACACTCATAATGTCTTATTTGTATATTTTAAAAAAATATAACAATATAAATATTGATCTGTATGCCTTCACAATCTCACATTAAGCTAAATTGTTTTCTTTTTTAAAAAAGAATTGTAGCATATTAAGACATAAGTTTCCTCTAATGAATTAGGCTTTCACCTCTTTTATACAGAGGTTCAGTAATACATGTTCCATTAGCTTTATAGTTAGATACTCTTGATAAAACAAAGTTAAAATAGCTAAATATATTTATTTTGATTTTCTGTAAATTGGGTCATACTGAAGCATTCTCTTTACCTGCTGTGTATAATGCAGCTGTCTTGTAAGGTCCTCCTCTGTTCTGCTAAGTTTTTGTTCCAGTATTAACTTTTCTTCCTATAAACAAATGAAAATTTCTCAGGCAATATTTTCAGTCTACAAAATGATTAATTGCAATTAGTAGTAGATATATCATCCTGGACATTGGAGGACTCTTTTGTCAGCCAATGTACATAGGCTTATACTATAGGATTGCCTTATTTAGCACATTATTTGCAAGCATATTTATACTACAGAAGTTGCACAGGCTGTTTGGTTCTTTTCCTAAATATTTCTGGAATATTCATTTTAAACTAGATAAAGGTGAAATATTTAAACTTCTGTAACAAAGGACCTTGGATTCAATGGATAAAATTTTCATATCACTGCAGATGTTTTATTTGATTTAATGGACAGTAAAAAATTAGACATTCCTTACCTCTCAAATGGTCTATTAAACTAAGATTTCATTGTATTGCTATCAATTACTTCTAAAAATATAAAGAATGTTAAATCTAGGATATTAGTGAGTCTTAAATTCAATAGCCATGTGCCATTTAATGTCATCCTTTACTTCTCTTAATGACCAAAAATAATTATTGCCAAAAAAACCATGTATGTATGTATGTATGTATGTATGTATGTGTGTGTGTAACTGAAACTATCATTTTACCTTAGTAGATTTGAGGCAGGATGCCAAAAATTTCTTGATTTCAGCATCATTTCCTGGTAAGAATTTTAGTGATAAATGGGTAAGATGTTTAAATGGATTTGTCTCAACCACATTTAGAAATGAAGGTGTGTGATCTAAACTAGATCCTGAAGAAATCAGCTGTAGCAAAAACCTAAAAAGAAAAAAATATCACATATAACAAAATACTTAAAGTTACCCTCTCAAAACCCTTTGCCTTCTCGAAAAAGGCAAAGCTACTTATATAACCTAAGGAACAATGGGAAATCTTTGCTGATGAATATTTTTCGTAGACTCCAACCCCTTTCAGTGCACTGCTAAAACTCAACACTATGGTTTTTTGTGATTTTTAGAATACAACAGCTGCCCCCAGGCCTCTCCTTCAACTAGCTCAACCACTACCAATGAGTGTCACTTCAAGCCCCATGCCACGATCAGCTGTCCCAGCATTATACCACAACCCCCCCCCAGCTGCTGCCATCCCAACATCACAGGGTGAAGCTGTCCTTTGGCACAAACCCTCAGCTGTCATTTTTTGCTGCCCTGCATAATGGCATTCTTTGCAGCCAATGGCAGTGGCACCTGGGCTCAGGTAGAGGCCTGTGACCTTCAGCAGACTCTCCCTGCCTCTGCTGCTCTAAGCCTCTACTTCAGTCCTAGAGCAATTGGCAAAGCTCCTGCCATCAAGGAATACTGCCTCAATCTTCATACTATGGCCAGCCAACCCAACACTGTGGCACAAAGCCTCAGCCACTGCTGCAAAGCTCCAGCTACCTAGCTAAGCCACCCCAGCTCTGCAGTGGGAAGCCCCAGTGACAGCCACCTACTCTGCCCTGTGCTCTACTGTCCCCGGCTGACCTTCATTGCCTTCTTCCTACAGACAAGGTGTGCCAGTCTGGCCCTTTATGAGGCAGTTGCAGCCTTGGGAATGCCTTGCAAGATCTTAGCAAGGAGACGTGCAGCTTCAGGAAGAGCAGCCAGCAGCTGCTTTGTGAAGAACCGGGTCAGGTACAACTTATCCGCAGTGGGAGGGAGATGTCAAAAGTCATCTATGGATGGCGGGGCAGTGGAGCACCGGGCAGAGTGATAAAGTACAGGACAGCCAAATGGCAGAAAGAACGGGAGTTAGGCAGGTGGGGTAAGTTGAAGCACACCCTGTAGTAGTAAATGCCAAGTGCCTGAATTCTGACCATGTGGCTACCGGAGGCTACAAGTAACTTTGAGGACCAGGCGTAAGTATAATATGACATGCCATTATAACTTTGAACAGTTGCTGAACAAACTGTTAAGTAGGGACTACCTGGAAGATAAGAGATATTGCTTCTGGTTGTGTTTTCCGCCTAAACTACCTCATAGTGCTAATATCCAGCCCCTAAAGAAGTAATAAATAAGGGCAGCTCTGAGCCATCAAAAGGATTTAGAAGCAAACAAATGCAAATGATCCTATTGTCTCTCCTTTTTTAATTTTAGTTTTATTTACTTGAACTTGATATTCTAAATAAATGAGATTGATTTACAAACGCTATTTATATTCTTTGATTTGAAACTGATATAAAGTACAGTTTATGTATTACTAACCTTGGGATTTCTTTATCTTGTTCTTGGATGCAGTGCTGAAGAAGATCTATAAATCTCTGAGGAAAAGCAGAAAAATCTACCAGAAGACTTTGCTGAAGTTTTAAACTACATAGAAAAAAAGAAAAAAAATTAAATTACATTTATCAATGTAATGTGTGGTAAGATCAGATAATTTTCAAGATATTTCTTTCAAAATCCAAGAATTCTAAAGTGTTCGCCCCCCCCCCCAAATCACAATTTTCTTATGACCTTTTGGAATGCTACCACAATTTATCTGTCACTTCAATTAATCACTTATTACTGCAGTAATACTCATTTCCCTTTCTAGCATTATTTATTTTTAGCCCAGTAGTTTTCATGTAACTCCTAAAACATGATCCTGAAATAAGGGTGCCTCTCTCTTCGAAATGTTGAAAGTCTAAATCAGTGTTTGTCAATGAAACCTGGCAATATTTAAGATGCATGGACTTCAATTCCCAGAATTCCCCAATCCCTATGGTGGGAAAATTCTAGGAATTGAAATCCACACATTTTAAAGTTATCTAGTTTGAAAAATATTGGCCCAAATAGATCCATGGTTTAAGGTTAGTATTCATAATTCATGCAAAGAAAGAACAAAACTAAACATATCAAACATCAGTGATGTTTCCATATAAGTACTGAGTTATATACTTTACATAATCCTAACAATATAGAGATTAATTTGGTTATTTTTATAGCAAGATTATTACACCAATATCTTTTATTACTAATGCTGGATAGTGTACTTACAAAGAAATCTATAAAAATCAGAACATTCATGAAAACCTACCTCTGAAAATCTTCCTCGGAAATAACAAGATTATAAAGGAAAAAGGGATCTGAATCCTCAGTTAGCCGAACAACTAAATCCTGAAGGAAGAGAATGTGAATTTCAAAAAATGTATTTCTCTAGAATAATTATTTTAATAGTACCAAATGGTACTAAATCATACGATTCATAAAATGCTTAAAACATCTATGCAACATACAAATCCTCTGAGCATCGCAAAACAATAGAAGTATGAAGTCTAAAAGCAATCCTCTTTCCTAAATAGTTCAAAAGAGAGGTCTGACTGCAGAATTGATCCAAATCTGTCTTTAAAGTGAAGGTAAAGTGATAGAAGCCTCCTATCTGATCCATCAACTTTTTTTTCCAAGGCCCAGCTCATTTTTGTTGGGTCTTTCCCATTCTACATCTGAAAACAAGCTTATCAATACTGTAGCTTTGATCCTTTGTTAGCAAATAACATGCTATGTTTACAAGTTCCAATTTTATGGATGTTTTAATTGAATTGTTTTAATAAAATTTATGATAGGATGCAGGTGTAGAATGAGGTTTGGGAGTTTTGGATCCAGATTCCACTCTTTTACCAACTACAGTATTAAAAAAGCCCTTTTGGAGATAACATGTTTGGGAGTGGAAGCTACACTAGTGTGCCATTATGAAAGGCGAGTAAAAAGAGATATGGCCTAGAACTGGAAAGGCAAACAAAAACATTGATAATCTTCATGGTGCTATTGAAAGAGAAGAAGGGCTCCATAAGAACCTGGCCAAGAGCAGTGCAGGAAATATAAATGCCAAGAAACAATTTGACATCAGCATTCTTGAAGAGGACTAGCGTTAAGAGGGAGATGGTTAAATGGCGCTAGTAGCCTTGAGAGCCACACCAGTGGTGGGGGCCTGGAGAAGTCTAGCTGCAACATCAGTCCAACAACCATATTCACCTTATTGAGACTGGAAGTTCCCACAGTATAGCTGTAGTTTGTTTCAATAAAGGGAAATATTTGTAGCTAAGGGTTGAAATGAGGGGTCCTTGGTGTTCTCTAAGGTTGATTGTTTTGTTGTATCTGATGATATTGCCTAGTTTGGGTAGTGAAACTTCTGCAAGAAAACAACCAAGTTCAGTGTAGCTAATTCTCCAGGGAAAGATCCAGGAAAAGTCAAAAACAGTAATGCTCTAAGGACATCACAGAGTCTAGGTTAAAACATTTGCTGTTTGAAAAGGAGGAGGGAGAGTTGGCAGAGAAAGAGGATTTTTTTATGTGTGCCTTTGAATCAATGTTTACTCCTGGCAACTGCCTGGACTGCAATTTTTTGGCAAGATTTCAGAAGTAGTTTGCAGGAAACAAGAGATATAGGACATAGCAGAACAAATAAGATATTCAAACAGTAATAAAACACAGGTGCAATTATAAGAAATAAGGCATAGATATAAAAACATAGGAATAAGTTATCTAGAAATCTAAGAGAACTAAGCATAATGATAAAAATAAGTACAACACACACACCCAGTAGCAAATATTTTGTGTACTAAATCCTCCTCTGTAATAAAGGGAAATAAAATTCACCTCTACTTTGTGATCTGGATCATTCCTCAAAACCTATGGTTGTGGGACGGCTATCAACAAATATTTATTCCCATCAGCTAAAGAACCCATAGAGGAAATTTACGTGGTAGTTAACATAAATTCTTTGAAGAATCCTCACGTATTATGTTGCTTATCACTTTTTCTATTGTTCACTTAGCCCATTTATGCCTCGTCCATTTTCTAAGTTTATGGATGAATAAATGGGGATTTAATTTTATAATTAAAACTAGCATTTGAATGAATGGCCTATATTAATCAGTGAATCCTTGGTGGATTGGAAACTTAAATCTGTATCTCTCAGGAAAGTCCAAGCCTCAGCTACTACATTCTGCTAGCTATCAGCTTGTTATGTATCCACAATAAATCACAATGAAGTGGAAAAATTGTCATTGGAAACAGAACAGAAGCAATGTTCCAAGTCTGGAACATTGCTTCCCACAGAAAGGCTCTGGAGCCTGGGGAAGGCGAAAAAAGCCATGGCAAAAGCGGTGTGTGTGTGTTGCTGATCGTGCGCACACGGGGGGGGGGGGGGGTGTCACGCGCATAACATTATGCTTTTGGCATGGGAACCAAAAAAGGTTTGCCATAACTGGTATAGGGTTTCCAGCTTGATCAGGGAGTTAGACTAAAAGACCTCCAAGTTCCCTTCCAACGCCATTATTCTGTTATAATATTCCAGCTCAACATATTTTGTATATTTTTATTAGATAAGAAAAAAGTAGCTTTCTCAGGAGACAATTACAAAGTACAAAACTACTAAATAAATGGGAAGGGAATACATATGAAAAATTAGTCATAATGATGTAGTGAAAGATTGAAAGCCAAGTGAAAGATTGAGAGGGCAAATTAACATGGAAATCTATGCAAGAGTATTGAATGAAGCGTAGAAAAGACACTGAATGAATAAAATGTTATTTGGAAATATATTATTTGATTAGATTGGCCCCACTTTGGTCTCAACTTTGCCAATGTACAGTTATTATCATGGAATATTACTTCCAAGTTTATAAGTTTTTTGCTGTTCTGTAGTGACATATTATTTTTCACAATATTTATTTTGATAAATGATCAAGAAAATCTATTGTTCATGAAGTCAAAAGCTAGGCTAGAGTTAGCAAATAAAATTCTAAGCAGGGTCATTTATTGTAAAAACTGAAAACAAAAAGCATAATGAGGGAAATACAAACCTTTCTATGAATGGGATTTGTTGTTGATTGCATTTCAACACTCACTCGGACCTTTATTCGTCTGCAAAATACATGGAAGTGCATTCAATATATTGATGTAAGTAACAGCAATTTATTTTTCAATTGATAAATGAAATGTTGTATTTTAATTCAAGTAAAGGTGATCCATTAAGAGAGTTTGAACAGAATTATATCTATCATAAAATCAATATACCATGATTGTCTTAAAGTCAATCTTTCCTGTTAGCTATCCGGAAAGCCCTTAAAATATGGCTCTACAAGATATTTGCATTGTTTAGATGAGTGTAATCACCTGAAGTTTTTATTATTATTATCGCAACAACAGAATTGTATCATCAATTGTATTATCGCAACAACAGAATTGATTATTATTATACAATTGTATCACAGTGGCCAGTTGTTTCACCGGATTTGGCATTGATTACTAGTCGGGCCCCACCCAGGGGCCTAGGACGTCGTAACGTATTTTCATAATATGCGTGCGGATCCAAGCAGTGCGGCTTTTTGCATTTGACTGATGGTGATTTTGTCAATTTTTAACTGTTATNGACATCTTCAAGTTGCCAAGGTTGAGAAACACTGGTTTACAGTGTCCTTTAGATCAGAAAAAAAGTACTAATATATTTGTTACAGCAGATCTGTATTTTAGTTCCTCTTGCTGCAAAAAATTATAATACCATGGTGTTATTTTTGGTCTTCAGTCAGTGGTGTCAGCAGCAACTGGAATATCACTTCCCATATTTTCTGAAAGAAAAATGTAATGTTCGCCAAGAAATATACATTTTTTCAGAAATATACCAACTTTTTAAAAAGTTATTTTTTCCAGTATATATGAAGTTTTCAAAAGTCTTTTAATTTATATTTTTTACAAAAGATTAAGGTATCTATCTAAACCAGTGTTTCTCAACCTTGGCAACTTGAAGATGTCTGGACTTCAACTCCCAGAATTCCCCAGCCAGCGAATGCCAAGGTTGAGAAACACTGATCTAAACTGACCTATGAACCCACTGTGGGCCAGAATGATGTTTTTCACAGTACTTAATGGTTCTGTACCAGCAGGTGGGATTTCTTGTGCTCTTTTTGCACTCTGCCCCCGCAGTTCTCTTGAAGAGAGGTTCTTTTCTCTAGTTCCATAGCACAACAGGAAAGAATTAATCTCTCAAGAGTTCTGTGATCTCATATAAACCAGGATGTTTCAAAGATCTGTTCATTGCACCATTGCAATGTGGCTCATATAACATTAAAATCATGCATTCTAGTGCTAAAGTAAGTAGCATTAGGGTTCTACTTCATGTATCAGAATTATTTAATGTTCACGGTAGGACTGGGTGCATTTAATATTTTGGATCTCGACTTTTAAACACTATAAAATGCCACAATGTCAAGTAAATTCTAGTTTCCTTTAACAATTCTTAAATGTATTGTACGCCACATTTCTCTGATTCAAACTTTTTAAAACAGAAAAAGTTTGGTTGTTATTGTTTACTATGAAACTATCTAGTTTGGCTTCATGCTTTCTATCCTCAAGGCCACTATTGCTTGTCTAACAAACCATCATTAAAAGCTGGTTTAATGTTATGTGCAAATTCAGCTCTTGAAAAATAGGGCACTCTCTTCTCTGAGTGTGTGTGTGTGTAAAACCATAAACAAACAGTACCTTCACCATTGAGTGACTTCTGAATATATAAATGCATGAACTGAATTCCATAGAGTTCTTGTTCCTCTTCTTCTTCGGGATTCTCGCAAGGAGGAAGTATAACTTGCAGCTTTAATGGGTTATCTCTAAAGTTGACAAATCTGTTATATATGATATAATGGAGATAATGAACTGGTAATTCCTAAAACTAGAAACACTCCTTTGAACTTAATAATTTGGTTTTTAGGTTAAAAAAAAAATTGGTAATACAACTGCTATGAAGCCTCGGTGAAGGCAGTGTTAATATATCATGTTCTTTGGAATCTTAAGTCTCATTTCACTGGAATATTGAATAATGGTTTAGTGTTAATAAGCCTGTATTAGCTCTGCATTCAATTAATCCTCCCCTCCTTTCTCATTCCGCAGAGAAATATGAGAATCTGATTTAGGTTAGCCATGTTGACTTTTAAACCTCACTGGATTTTTTTTAAATAAGCTCTCATTTTAAATTAAAATTTAGATAACAATTGTATGGTGGAAATGTAGACTCCAGATTGTCGCAGCTTATTTTAACAAAACTTAAAGATGACCACAATATATCAAATTCATGTGAGACTGTAAACTCTGAATACACTAAACAAAACCATCTGACCTCATGTTTGTATCTATGGGGAGGAAATGTGGCTCAAGTCACAATCATTATTTTCACTTTAACTAAAATTCTGCACCATATGAAATTGGAATCATTGTAGCCCAAATGTCATTTCAGTATAGTGATTAAGAAGAGCCGAGGTGGCGCAGTGGTTAGGGTGCAGTACTGCAGGCCACTTCAGCTGACCATTATCTGCAGTTCAGCGGTTCTAATCTCACCGGCTCAAGGTTGACTCAGCCTTCCNGAATAATAATAATAATATATTTCGTGAGAATGTTATGGGGAAAATGCTGCTTTATAGAAGTTGCAGGGATAATAAATACTATACCATTGGCCATTGCTTGTTTGTTGCAGAATTATAGTAGCACAATTTAGTCTTGGCAATTAAATGTATTTAATGATATTTGAGCAGCAGGAAGAAAAATCTTGGTGTTTGGACAGAAGCATTTATTTTGCTGGGACATCCAAGTGTTCTTCCTTAGGGTAGCTCATCACACACTGGCAGAAAAGTATGATAGCTTAAGAAAAATGCTGCCTGCACTGTACCTGTTTTCTATGCAGATGGATATAGTATTTGTATACAAATGTTGTGTAGCATGCTAAATACTCAGAATTTTAAAAAAAATGGTATCAAGAGTTCTAAAAAGAGAGATAGAGAGCAGTATATAGGATACAAATATCCATCTCCTAGTAACCTGAAGGCTTACTCTTATTGGCACGGAGTGATTGAAAACAAAACAATAAGAAAAGCTTTTCCATTCTTGTGAATTGTACTGTATTTATTACTATTCTGGCCTTTCATCTAAATATATTTTCTAGTCAAGGATATTGTTTAGATAAGAACAGATTATTGCATTTTTTCAGTCATATTCTTGCTTTGTATTGATGAGCTTCTATAAACAAAGTAAGAAATAATCTGTGTCCATTCCTGCAGGCACCAATTTCTGCACTTTCTAAACAAGAACTGGAGAACTTAATTAGGAAGCTTAAAAAAGCAAGTAATGGTAAGTAATTTTATTTTTATTTGGGCAACCACACAATATAAATGATGAAATAATTTGAAATAACTATTTTGTAATTTAACGGTTTTTGATGTGTATGAGAATTACTTTGTAAAGTTATTTACAATGTAAATATTGTAAATGTTACATTGTAAACTTGTTTAAATTTAAAATATTTGCAGCGTTGGATATTAGTTTTCTCATACAATAGCAACAACAGATATTTGAGAGAAAATTTAAATTGTTAATTCAATTTAAACTCAAACACAAAATCCTACATTCTATTATCAGCTATAAATTATGAACTTGAGGACCAAATTCTTTCTCATCAAGCCTTACAAGAAGCTCTTAATGACCCCCAAAATGGAGATGCAGCTTTTAAACATTTGAAGCAACAGGTAACTATCTTGCAAAAAAACAATATACTTAGTACAATTTTTTGTTCTAAATAAATTGCTTCCTAGTGAAGGAACAACTTATTGTTCTCCTTAAAACACTGATAATTTTATACATGGTTTTTAATCCACAACCCTAGATATCCCTAAAATTTCATAAGAATATTGATGAATCTGATTTTTTTAAATGTATACTGTAAAGTCATTCGGATTTTTTTTTGTTCTAGGTTTCGCATAAAGGAAATGTCAGCGTGAAAGAATTAGTTTTCTAGCTATACTCAAAATAATATAATTTGAATTTGGAGTAAATAAGTCGTGCAAACACTAAGGAAAATAGTACAGGACTAAATCACAAAGCCCATGCATGTTGAAAGATTTACAATTAATAATACAATAGCTGTACAGATATCTGTTGCTGATTTTAGGATTCATTAATGCTTAATTCAAATAGTGCAAGGAATATCTTTGATGGTTCATAAATAAACTTGATGTCTATAGGCTTCTATATTAGGTAACATGAAAAGATTGCATTTGCTTGGACCAGGAAACTGTTTTGTGGAATTTGGAGCTGGACGGGGAAAACTCTCCCACTGGTTGGATATAGCTTTACAGAATGCCCAAGATGTTCATTTTCTTCTTGTGGAAAGGGCATCTACCAGGTTCAAGGTAAGGCAATTATTGTTATAATTAAAATTAACATTTTTATAATGCCATATATCCCCAAAAAAAAGTTTTAAAAAAGGTTCAAAATACAATACAATAGCAAAGTTGGAAGGGACTTTGGAGGTCTTCTAATTCAACCCCCTGCCTAGGCAGGAAACCCTATACCCTTCCAGACAAATGCCTATCCCATATCTTCTTAAAGATTTCCAGTGTTGGGATATTCACAACTTCTGGAGGCAAGCTGTTCAACTGATTAATTGTTCTGTCAGGAAATTNTTATGATCACTCGAGCAGAGTTAAGCAAGGGTTAAAAGCCGAAAAATTGTCATTAAACCCAACCTGACATCAATTTACAATTCACACTAAATCAAATATAGCATTGTTTGAATTCGCTTTCATCGCATCCTAGCTATACTTAGTAAAAACGAAGTCCTTTTCACATGTTTTCAAGAGCTCTCATCCAAAACAAATGGCTCTCGTAGTTCTCCCAGAAATGGGGACCCGCTGAACATTAAACTGATTAAATCAAAATACTGAAGCAAAGTGAAGAATGAAAAAAAAAAAATATCTTAGTAGTTTTTGAACAAATACCTGCCATTCTTCTTGCTCGATCCTTAAAACAGCTCTTCCATCTTCATTGATTACTTTGCTTTTCATCTTGGCCAAACTGGCTCTCTCTTCCCAAATAATTGTCAGTCTAGAAATAAAAGTTGTGAAGCTTTAAAAGTGCATCTTCTTTATTGCGGCAACTTCCATCGTGCTTTAAAACATTTGGAGTCTGGATTGATCAGGCAGCAAAATCAACAATTGTGCTATGCAAACAGTGAAACAGGTTAGTATCACTGTTTCTCAGAAACCAAAAGATCCCAAATCATCGTGCTGCACCGCATTTACTATGGAGTTGTGTATCGTCTTGGGGGCTGGCGGGCCATGACATAAAAGAGACTTTAATAGCAGATTACTGGAATGTTACTACTATTTCTACTTGCAGAACAGAGTGGCAGTATTTTGAAACATTTACATTTTTTTTTACTATGTTGTTTGCTGTTTTTCACACTATTGGAGAACTCTTGAAAATCACAGGGAGATCCCATTTGAAATGTGATCATACTTCTCGTCGAAAGCAGTGGTGGGATTCAGCCAGTTCGCACCTATTCGGGAGAACCGGTTCTCAACTTTCTAAGAGGTTCAGAGAACCGGTTGTTGGAAGAAATCTTTTGTTTTTTTCCCACTTCACAGGGCTAATCCTGTAAGAGAGGCAGGAAGGAAACATTCTGGTGTTGTTTCTAGCTTAATCTTTATTGACCTGCTTACAGAAACTGCCTCTCCAGTTAACCCTAATTACCATTGTAACAGCTAAGGTGAAGCGCCCATCGACNTCTCATCAGCTAGCCATACCCTTACTGGGATTTGAATTTAAAATCTAATATATATATATTAGTTTGTCTTACTGTGGAGATTTCTCATTTTGGCCGTAAACCTGGAGTGCAAAGGTAAGCAATTTGGAGTCTTAAAAGTCCCACTCAGAGAATCATACTTTTCTGCTTGCTATTTATGTTGGGTGGAGTTGACAGTACTTCATAACTGTTCCAACTCAGTAAAAAATATTAATACATCTGATAAATACTGCAGATTTCCATGGGGAAAAAATATGAACAGCAAAATAGTTTGTCCTTTATCTGTTCATCCTTCCCTAAAGGCATTTTCTGTAATTTCAACAAAATGAACCAAATATTATTAAAATTGTAAATGCCATTCAGATAAAGATCTGACCCTAGAATGGCTGATTTTAAATTGAGCACTATCTAAATTTTGGTAACCGTTATATTTTTCAACCTTACTTTCCCTATCTCTGAAACAAATCACTATTTACCGGAAAGATTCTTTTTGACAACAAATGCTCAAAACTATGACACAAATTAAAATGCTATGGAAATTATTTGAATCAGTCAATTTCCATGATAATTTTTTCCATTTGCTTGAAATTGGTTAAAAGAATGGGATCCAAACGGTATACATTTCAGTTTATCTGCTTAAATAGATTTTTAAATCATATTTTTAAAAGCCTTTATACTGTTACAGGATACATATAATTCAACTGCTTGCCAGAATTATATTGTATTTGTTTCCTTAGGTAAGTAACAACCCTAACCTTTTGTTTTTGTCTATGAAATTAAAACTACAAGATTTTTGATAATTAAATCACAATGACATGAATCACATCTCTTCTTATTGCATTTACTTGTCAATATTGCCGGGGATTTCTTTCAGCCGGTTGCTTGCCATATCTAGCCACTCCAAGTTAGGCATATCTAGGATAACTAGCGGGAGAGTAGTAAACCGGTTCATGCTCAGGTCTAGATGAGAAAGCTTCTTCAAGTTGCTCAGCTAAAAAAAAAGAAATAAAGAATCTTAGCAATGATTCATTTTGATAAACCACATTTCATCAGATAATATATCAGCTTCGGGTGTATTTGTATTTGTGTTTATTTGTATGCCGCCCTTTTCCCTGGGGGGACTCAGGGCGGCTCACAATCCAAAGGAGGGGGG